CTTAATATGGTGAAGAGGCAAGATTCTAATCTGCCCCATGGATTTATGCCCTCTTCATCGAGCTCCAAGTGTACGTCGGTAGGGACACCGTACTCCTCGCAAAACGCAGCAAGGGCGCTCGGCGTGTCTACAAGGATGCGGTAGCGCCCCATGAAGGACCAGCCTGTTCAGCTCGGTAGAATTAGTTTGATTAAATTTTGCACGGTGGCTGCTCGGTCTTTGAGAGCCCTTGTGTTGGTGTCTAGTCCCCTAGGACTCTGCAGGTAAAAGCCAAGTGTAAGTGATAGCGCGGTCGCGCAAACAAGCTTGACTTCAGCTCGGTTACTTTAGGCGCAACAGCACCTTGGCCTAATTGGGTGAACTCAACAGCTCGATCACTCGAAGCAGACCAGATATTAGCCCGGTCGATCAGCCCAGCGCTTTCTTAACTCAGTTTTCACCTAAATTCTATAAACTAGGAACTTGCTCGGTTCACTTATGATTTTGGATTAAACGATGATTCGTAGCCCGGTCAGTCCTAGATCCTCACGTGTTTATCATAGAAGATGATGAACAATGTCGAGGGCGAAGGGGCAAAAATAGCTTTTTGTGATCACACCCTAGACTAACTTCATTCGAAGCCCTAAAACCTATTGTTATCATGCCCAAGACTCAACTATGGTAGTCATAGTTCAAGCACACAAGAAAAGCATGAATAACAGATGAAGAACAGTGAAGGGTTGAAAACTTACAGGTTAAGGCACGGATTGTGGTTCGAGTCCGTGAGAAGGGGCCCCAGCGACGGCGACGGAGCAGAATAGGCTTGCTGCGGGAATGCTCTAATCTCAGTAGAGTGAGTAAGAGACGAAGGCTGGGTGTTATAGATCGCTGGATCACTCGAGAAGAAGATGAACAATGGGGAAAGAAACACAAAAGGGCGAGCGACATATATATAAAAGGAGAAGAAGTGCCAAAAATTTGAATTCGAGGCGACAGCGTGTGACGGCTGGGTTGGATGCACAAGGCCAATGAGCAGAGGACGCGTGTCTATGACAAGACTGGTGTTAGTACTGAAGAGACAAGCAGAAAAGTCGAAATATCGACCGAGCAAGTAATGTAGCCGAGCAAGGAGTTAGCATGGGGAATAAGTTAAAGATAACAACCGAGCAGATTAACTATCTCGGCTGGAGAAGGTAATCTCGGTCACGCTGGCGCGAACAAAATTAAGGGGCAATTGAGAGGGAGATTTCATAAATTGGCATTGGGCCGAGATAATGACCGAGCTAAGTTGGGCCAAGCAAGTTTGGGCCGAGCTGAGGTCAAGGCCCCGTCCGATTTAGCTGGGGTAACATTAAACTGTCAGCCCGGTTAACTTTATTTGCTCTTTGAGTTAGACGGGTTAGGTCTTCCGCAGATCAGTCCGACCGAGCGGGTGTTAGGTCATAACTAAGGACGGCTAAGCCGTAGTGAGATTCTTTAATGAAACTGGATAATTAGCACGGTCGTGGTGTGACGATGTGTCACTGTGCTAGGCGTAGCTTGGTTTAGAGCATTATGCATCTCAGAAGTAGCAAGGTCGTGGAGTGATGGAGTGGCATCGTGCTATCCGTTCACGCCAATGCCGTTTGGCAATTTTGTTAGGTGGTGTTTAGCTGTATTTGCGCTGACACGTGGGAAAATGGGAGATGAAAATAGGTCCATGTGTCCAAAGGTGAATGGATGCAGAGGCGCATACAGAAAGTATATAAATGGTGTTGCGCCCCCATATTTAGGTTGGGAACGTCTTATAATCACAACTCACCTACCACTTTGCCTCCTCTTTTTTCTCTCCTCCCTGTGTGCTAACTTGATCATCGGAGGGTTTTCCGGTAGTGCACCGCCAGGTAGCTCACCATCATTGTGTTCTCAGGTCGATCGAAGTGAAGCGTAGCTTGAATACAAGGAGAACGGACAACGATGAATATTTGCTCCCCGTACATGATAGACTCGTAAAACTTACATGGTATGAGCCTCTTATAGGATCCATGGTCTCATAAACATAATTATCTCTTTTGGCAACTAGAAAAAAAAAAAAAATTTATTGGTTTATTTACTTATTTAGGCCTCATTTGAAAATTACATGTTTTAGTTAAAAAATCAAAAAGTCACTGTAAGTTGTCACATCACTCTCTCTACTTTTCTGCGCATTTCATAAAAAATAAAAAAGTTACTAAAATAATTTATTCCCAGACGAGACCTAAGCCTGTTTTAACAATTGGGTTAAGAGCCAAAAAAAACTTGTTTTTTGAATTACATCATATCTCTACTTTTTTTTACACATTTTTTCAAAAATAGTTTTTAACTTATTTCTCAAAAATAAGGTCACATCCCCTCTCTATTTTTTTTTTGTGCATATTTAAAAAAAAAAACCAAAAAAAAACTAAAAAGTCAACTTTTTTTTTTTTTCTTCCAAAATAGGCCATGTAAAATATTTGATAGTTTATTTTGGAGTCCTTAGCATTACTTTTATGGGTAAATTACTAATTGATCATAATAGTTAGATTTAATTATCACAAAGTTTTATTGAAAATAAGTTCTAGTAAAATCGTCGCTAAAAATATTTTTTTTATGACATTTTTTGCATATGTCGCTAAAAATTTACAATCAGCGATTTTTTTGTCACGATTTTTATAAATTGTCACTAAAACGTACAATTAGTAACATTTTATGACGAATTTTTCAAATTATTGTTGAAAATTGAAAATTAGTGACTTTTTTGTGATATTTTTTAAATTGTCTATAAAACTCATAATTAGTAATTTTTTTGTAATAAAATTTTCAACATGTCGTTGAAAATTAACAATTAGTGACATTTTCTAAAAGTGTTTGATTAAAATACAATTATCATAAAATTTATTAGACAATAAATTCATCTATTAGGACTTACACATAAGTCCCTTTACTTTTTGTAAAATATCAAAAATTATTAAAAAAATCAATTCGCAAATGGGCAATAAATACATATATAATCACAAAAAACAATTCTGATCATATATAATTGAATCTATTATAAAGTATACAAATTTATTCAAATTGTTTTACCTTTTTTATGCAATTGAATTTGTGGTAAGTTGTGTATTGTAAGTTTTAATTTTAATTTATTTATTTTATTAGTTTATTCCAAAAAAAAAGTGCACTTTTGCCTAATTACAAATTTAATTTTTTTAAAATATTTATTTATTTTGTGTTTTTTTAAAGTTATTTAAAACCTTAAAGATGTATGTACAAAAACAACTTTATTTTTTTTGTCTTAATTATAGCTTTTGAAGATATTATGAATATTTTACACCCAAGGAATTATTAAAAATTATACTAAAAAAATTTTCAACTAATTTTAATATTTTCATTAATTTAATAATCTAATTATAATTATAAATGTTAATTTATAAGTTATACTCAATAATGCCTTTATTATAATTTTTGAAAAAAAACACTTCAATATAGGGCATTTATTCATAAATTATTTATTGTCTAAATTATTTTCTTATATTTTCAACTAAGTGTGTGTATAGAGTGGGTTTGGTGTGTGTAAATAGAAGCTCCCTCTCATAATTCTTATAGTTGACATAGTTACAAAAATACTCCAAATAATAATAAAGTGAAGCGCTCATTAATATTCACATTGATAATGTGAATATTTCATGATTTGAACATTCACACTATTAAATTTATTTATGACTCTTTTGGCAACCTAAAAAGAAGCCACATTTCTTTTCAATTTATATTTCATGATTTGAACATTCACACTATTAAATTTATTTATGACTCTTTTGGCAACCTAAAAAGAAGCCACATTTTTTTTCGATTTTTTTTTTTTGTATTTTTTTTGAAAATTATGTCAAGATTTTTACTTTTTCTATCTGTCTTGTCTAGACGAATCTAAAAGTATATTTTTTTTTTGAAAATTTTCAAAAAAAATTGAAAAAGCCAATATAAGCCAAAAGAGATTGCTTAATTTTGTTTATTTTTGTCTTTTCTGAATTTTTTTGAAATTTTTTAACAAAATTATAAATTTCTGGATCATATTGTCAAGCTGAATTTAGAATCTTAAATTTTTTAAAAAATTTTATTTTTTTTTTTTTACTAAAGACGAAAATAAATAAATCTCAAAACAAACTAAGTTGCTTTAAGGGTTCAAAAAATATTAGTAAGGGTAAAATTATTTATAAAATATTTTAAATATGATAATTAGAATTTGATAGATCAAATATCTAAAATAATAGGACTTATAAAATTCAAAAATATTTTGGGTTGTTTTGGGAAGATGGTAAAAAGTGACTTTTTGGCTTTTAACCAAGCTTTTGGTTTTTTTAGACAAATGATTTGGGAAGTTGGTAAAAAGTGACTTTTGACTTTTTTTGATTAATATTTGTTTATGATGTCAAATCATAATAAAATGACTAAACTACCCCCATTTATTTAAAATATTTACAACTGAACCTATGTAATACATTGTGATCCATGAGGGGTAAAATTGTAATTTCACCGTTGGCTAAAAATCAACTTGCCAAATGAAAAAAAAAACCAAAAAAGCCAACTTTTGGCTTTTGCTACTAACAAAAAAAAATGACTTTTAGCCAAGTTCCCAAAATAGCCCTTTATAGACTAATTGAGATACAAATTTTTTATTTAAAAGATATTAGACTAATTGAGATACAAATTTTTTATTTAAAAAATATAATTATTTTTTAAATTTTAATTTGAAAAAAAGAGTACACACTCTTGGCGGTTAGGTTTGTCATAGCTCAAATTTACAAGCCCTATCTGGTAATTTCTCACCCTCACTGTTCTTTCCTATCTCACCTTTTTTTTTTTCCTCACATAATTTTAAAGAGCTGAAATTTCACTAAACGCCAATCCAACCGTCCATTCCATCTTGATCAACGGTTCTCGTACTCTCATCGTCAATAAAATCCTATTTCGATATTTTCCCCAATATTATTACACACAAATATATATATATAGAGAGAGAATAGATCTAAAATCATCCACAGATTCTCTCTCATCTCTCTGCAAGTACTCGAAGCCCTCTTCTCTCTTTCCTCTCTCTCTCTCTCTCTGGTTCGAAATCAACTCTCTCTCCGAAGATCCCTAAATCAAATCAATCTTCGAATCCCGATTGATCGCTCAGCTTCTTCAATTTCGTTTGTATCGCAATTTCTTTAAATAAAGCTTTGATTTTTTTGATACATTTCTCATAACAATCGTTTTCGTTGTTTTTCGTCTGTGTTTTTTGTGTTAATTTTTTTTTTGGAAGTATTGTTGATGTTGTTGTCTTCTTTGTGTTCTTGCTGATGTGATAGGTGTTGATGGACTGAGTTGTGTATTTACGTGAATTTTGCAGAGAAAGTGAGGATTTTTTGAGGAAATTAGGGTTTAATAGGGATGAGGTTTGAAGGATGAACGATGCCTGTACTGCGTAGCGGAGTTCGCAGGGGTCGGGCAGCGAAGCAGCAGCCGAAATCGAACCCAACTGAAGGCGAAGCAGCGATTGCGACGAGGACTCGAAGGCGGCGAGCAGCGGCCAAGAACGATCAGGCGGTCAATGAGAACGTAGTTGCCGCGGCGGCACCGGCGGCGGAGGCGAGGGAGGTTGGTAACAACAGGGTTTTGGAAGAACCAGTCCGTGTCGGCGGCGATATCGGTGGTGGTGGGAGGGAGGAAGTAGGGGAGAGGCCCATGGATGATTTCGGTAGTGGTGGCGCTAAGAGCGCTGATAAAGCTCTTGGTGGCGAAGATGAAGGAAGCACTGCGCCGCTTCCTGAAAGGGTGAGACTCTTGATATGCATTCTTGTGTTTGTATTTATTTGTTTTGTTAGTTAATCGGTTGGTATTTTGTGTTGCATGAATTTGTTTCTTTGGTGAATGTAGAACTATAGCTTGGACAAAACAATAAAATAAAATAAATTAACTAATTTAAAAAAAAAAAAAAAAAAAAAAAATTTCCTCTTTCACTGGCTTTTGATGTTGTCTTTCTACGCTATTTTGGAGATGGAATTATGATATTTTTTGGGTGTTACTAAATTACGCGAGACTGTATCATGGCGTGTGGGTCTGTGTGAGAGAGATTGGGCTGTGTTTTGTAAAAATTGTGATGGTAGATGAAAGTTTGCTCAGTGGAAGATGTTGCGTAGAAAGAGTTGCCATGATTTGCATGAGTATCTCTATTTTTGGAGTTTTGATGTGGGACGTTTGATTCTGTTTTTTTTATTTTTATCGTTAAGACGGTCATTGATTACCTCATTTTTTGCTATCCTTGTATGTGTTACAGCTGTAGTTAGAAAGATTTGGTAAGATTGTTGAATTTCCAACAGGTGCCATTTGCTCGAGCAAATATATACTTTTGAGTGGCTTATCATTTGAGGGCTAGATATCATCCTTACTCCCATTTGCGGAATCTTGGGAGTTGTATGTCCTTTAGAACAAACCATTACAGAATTAATGCACGGATTGTGAAGTTTGTTGATGGTGTAATTTCTTTCCTCTTTTTGACATTTGTTACCATGATGGTCGGGACACACACTTGGCTGCATTTCCTTTAATGTCATTTTTGGAATTTTGTCGTTTTCCAGTTTGTCTTCAATACGAGGGCAATGATTTCCAGTTTGTCTTAAATACGAGGGCAATGATTCTCGTCGTACCGTTTAGAGGGTTTTTGATTGCCTTATTTTTGCTATCCTTGTATACTAGGAAGCACGGTCATCTTAAAACATGTGTGTCCATGTTTCGGACATGCCACATGATGAGTCAAAATTTGGGAACACTTCACACATAGTAAGACATGTCTCTAGACACCTTTGTTGGACGAGCCACACGCTGATTTGGGGTCAGCATAAAATATATGGAGACAAGCCACACGCTGATTTGGGGTCAGCATAAAATATATGGAGACAAAAGGGGAGGGAAAAAAAAGGGCCCACATATATATTGATGTCTTCTAAAACTCTATTCTAAATTAATATTCATATACACAAAAAGTAACAAAAATTTCATCAATAATACAATATCAACTACTTACCTAACAAACAAAAATCCAACTATTCCCCCGCTCCCCCCCCCCCAAAAAAAAAAAAATAATAAAATTGCTATGTCTAGTGCTTGTGTCTGTGTCCATGGACTCTATTCTTCTTTGTTTGTATGTGTTACAGCTGTAGTTAGAGACGTTTAGTAAGATCATGGAATTTCCAACTTTGACATGCTGCGGGGACGTGTGTCTGTCGGACATGCCACATGGAGAGCCAAAATTACTCATTATTTTTGTAGGACACATTGGGAGGACACCTTTGTAGATTTAAAAGGAAAGCTGATTTGGTGTCTAAGTAAAAATATATGGAAACAAAGTAGGGAAAAGTGAAAAAAAATAATAATAATACGCCTACATATACGTTAATATCTTTTATAACTTTGTCCCCTAAATTAATATTCGTATACATAGTGAAATGTTTTTTTTTGGTTGTATTCTCACTGTGTCCGTATCCTTTTTCTTTGGTCAAAATCGTGGGCTATATTTGGTTTGTATTTATGAAATAATTTTAAAAAATAATTTTCTAAAAAGAGTTTACAAAATTTTAAAATTTGTTTGGTTGTATGTTTTAAAAGTAGTTTTGGAGTTTTGGAATTTGGGATGATTTAATTTTTTTTTTTTTTTGGTAGTTGAATGGATGGATTTGAGAGAAAAAGTGACTTGTTGAGAGAGAAAAGTGATTTTGGATTTTTTTTTTCCCCCCTAAAATTTTCAACCAAACGGGATTTTTTTTTTTTTTTTTTTTTTTTTTTTTTTTTTTTTGTAATTGAATAGATGGGTGTGAGAAAAAAAGTTATTGATTGATGTGTAGAATGTGAGAGAAGAGAGGAAAGAAAAAAAAGCAATTGATTGATGTGTGTAGGTAGTAGAGAGAAAAGTGATTTTGGATTTTTTTTTTCCCCCTAAAATTTTCAACCAAACAAATTTTTGAATTTTTTTTTTCAAAAATTCTCTCTTAAGATACAAACCAAACAAGGCCGTGGTGTCTTGTGTTCATACCTGTGTCTGTGTCCATGCAACAAAAGTGGCCTATCATTTGAGGGTTAGATACTATTCTTACTTGCATCTGCAGAATTTTGGGAGTTGTATTGTCTTTGGAATGAACCATTACAAAATTAATTCAGATTGTGAAGTTCGTTGATGGAGTAACTTCTTTCCTGTTTTATGACATTTGTTACCATGATGGAATGGCCACGTACTTGGCTGTGTTTTCTCTAATATCATTTGAGGATTTTTTTCGTTTCCAGCTGCTTGTAATTGCGTAGGGAATATTTTATTAGACAAGATAAAACTAATTATTGATATAATGACAAAAATGAAATAATTGTATTACATTAGGGAATATTTTATTAGACAAGATAAAACTAATTATTGATATAATGACAAAAATGAAATAATTGTATTACATCAAAACATCTGGCAGCTGTTGTGTTTATTTCAAGCAGTGGCGTTATTTTATTAGTAACTGTAAAGCATATTAAATATGTTTTGTCGGAATATGAGTTGTTGATCATATTTCATTTTTTGCTAGTTTGCTCTTGTTTTAGCAATATGTATTTACCAATTTGAAATCCCACCATTTTATAAGTACGATATTGTAACTGTACATCTATGTAAGTAATGCTGAATTGTGAAACCTTGTAGTCCTATATTGCAACATGTGCAATATTGATTCAAGCTCGTTTTGATTTTTGGTTATTTTGCATTTTGCTATGGGCACATGTGGCTGCCTATGTCAGCCTATGTCAGTGGTGAGAGATTTTAGACTCCTAAAATTTTAAGACTCTGTAACCATTTTTAGGGGAAACGATTTTTCCCTATCCTTTGTTGCACGGACACTTGAGAGAAGCCATGTCTATGATACTTCATCAACATTCTCCTTTTTTATTAGAACGTATTAAGTGATTCTCGGCTTCAACCTTTGGGATAGGACCCAACAAAACATGTTGTTCTAGCTTGTTTCAACTGCCCAACCCAACACCTATTGTTCTAGCTGCTTCATGCTTCAAACTTTCTTTTGCCAAAGTCGAGGATTGCTAATAATGTTAACATTATTTTGTTTATCTTTGTTGCATGGACACTTGAGAGAAGCCATGTCTATGATACTTCATCAACGTTCTCCTTTATTATTAGAACGTATTAGGTGATCCTTGGCTTCAACCTTGGGGATAGGACCCGACAAAACATGTTGTTCTAGCTTGTTTCAACCACCCAACCCAACACCTCTTGTTCTATCTGCTTCATGCTTCTAACTTTCTTTTGCCAAAGTCGAGGATTGCTAATAATGTTAACATTATTTTGTTTATTTTAATGATAATATGTATACATATATATTGTGTATTTTATTTAAAACTGAGCTTATTCAAATGCTTTTTAGATTCTAAAGTTATTTATTCACATGTAAACTAAACAAAGTACGTTTACATCTGCATATTCTTTACTTCTTGTTCTTGAATTATTGTTTCTTATCTTTGTATCCCTTCAATTTTCATTGATACTTATAATGGATTTGGACCTGCACATATGACATGGTAGTTGTGTGTTACGTGTGTTTTTGGACAAATTGTGGGAAGATACTTTGAAAGAGAAAGGATTCTTTCCTGTCCGAGAGGGTGCTTTTGGGTGCCTGTGAACCACGGGTCCTACTTTGGTGATCTAAGCCATTCATCTTGTAGGAGTAGGACTCTATTTGTAGATCATTCATGAAAAATTTGATATTGGTCTGATAATCGTAGCCATATAATTTCATCATATTTTTCGAATGATGAACAAGAAGTATGATTTTAAAAATAGCCATTTGTCTTTTTGAAGATAAATATCATAAAATTATGTGGTTATGATTATTGGATCAATTTGATTTCTTTTCATGGATAAACAAAAGTTTTACAAGATAAATGGTTCAGATCACCGGATGAGACCCGTGGTGAACCCCAAGCAACACCTCCATAACCCTCTGCCCTTTAAAACGTATCTGATGTTTACTTCCTTTTCTCAGCTCTCTCAACCTCTGACACTATGTTATCTAGAACATGGATTGTTTCGGTATGTGGAACGGGAACGGGAACGGAAACGTGGTATGCCACATGTTCTAAAATGTGGTACGATAGGAGTAGACTTATATATATATATATATATATATTACACTTAAGAATTTAAGATACTCTTCTAGATTTATTTTATATGAATCTTACATACACATTAAATATTTGATAAAAATTTTAATAAATTTTTTTAAAATCTCTAACATTATTCATCATGTGCCAACAATTATATTCAGTAGGTTTAGGCCTCGTTTGGCAAGAGGCTATTTTAGCCAATTAGCCAAAAAGTTACTAAATTAGCCAAAAAGCCAACAACCCATACCAAAAAGTCAAAGATTCTCTTTTCTCTCTACTTTTTGCACATCTTTTCGTAATTAGCCAAAAAGTCATCCCAAACATACAAGTTTTTTTTACCTACCTTTTTAGCCAAATAGCCAAAAAGTTACTAAATTAGCATGTTCCCAAACGAGGCCTTACTTTGGATTTAAGTTTATATATTTTATTTTTGTCTCCTAAGGTAACATTTAAGGAAGTATATTGAAAAAAACTTTGGGATCGCTTCGGATCACTAAATTTACTATTTTGGAATGAAAGTGTACTATGTTTCGGAACGTGTGTACCAATACGTAATTCGTTAGGGTATTAGTGTTTTCTGGTAACATAGCTCTGACACCTCCCACTTTCCGAATGGTAAATGGTTGTAATAGTTTGCTTACAACTTGGGATTTACTTGAATTGACAAATTATATTATAAGGAGAAACGTAAATGTGGGTGCAAATGTTTTGTATGGTAGATAATCCTCTTGAAATGAATTAGTGGATTTCAAAACTGTTTGATGTTTGCACTCATTTAGCATTCTGCTAGGTGGATTTCAAAACTGCTAC